TGGATTTTGCCATTAAACATTATTTGACAGGTGGATAAATGTCTGTTTCGCTGACAGTCATAATAAAATTTCCTACTTAGTCTGGTGTTGGCACTGGGAACAGAAGTCCGAAGACTTAAATAAATGACGTCCAGATCGAGAGGAGAGAGATTGTGTGTGTATGTGTGTGTGTGCATGCAGAAGGTTCTTCAGTAATAGTGGTTTTTAGCAAAAAACAGAAGTTTTGCCAATTATTTTCTAAAGTAATCATCTTCCCCCTTTTTTGTATGAAGGAATGCTAACCCTCCCGAGACTACCACCCTTTGATTTAATGATTGTGGAAGCGTCACTTGATTTCACTGATCCTCATTTCAGCATGTCTCCACCAACCAAGTTCCTTGGGTTTTCCAGAGATTCACTGTTAGAGGAAAAGATAACTCTTAAAAACAAAAAGATCTGCTTTTTTCAAAGATTTCATCATCACAAGATTGCTCTGTTAGATGCCTAGTGTTCTTAATAGAAGTATTTTGAGACTGTGATGACTGAAAGCTTGAATAGAGAACATGGCACTTTAGGGGGAAGGCAGTGTTTTGGGTCTTCTCTAATGTTATAACTGTTAAACCATAAACTAAGTTGACCACTTACTTCTATCTTTACTGGGTATGATGACACCTGGGTTGTCTCATCACTTGGAAACAGAAGCAAGTGCTCATCTGGAAGAAAAAAGAATTGACCAATAGGTAATTTAGTTATAGAGATTAGGTGTGAACCAAACTGAAAGTCTCTGTTTTCCCACTAATATAGAATGGTTTAAATTTCATGGGTTCAATAAAATCAACTAGGAGAATATTACGGGAAAAATTTTTTAACTTGAACTTTATTGTATAACAACCACTTTCTGATCAAAGGACTTGGGATCAGACACTGACTCTTAACATTCTGGTTAGAGACTATGGACAAATTATTGAACCTGTAAACCTTAAGGTTTTTGTTGCCAAGTGGGAACAATATCTATCTCTTAAATTTGTAGTAAGGATAAAATCAGAAAATGTATGCGACCAGTACTTTGAAGCACAAATTATTGGGTATGGTATGAGAAAACAAAGAAATTTGTAATCATTTACACCAGGGTCCAATTCTTCACTCGCAGGCAAGTTTCTTAACTCTGTGGGCCTCTCTGTTGTCGTTTATGAAAAGGAATGACTGCTCTGAGTGTTAAATGGGATATATAAAACATCTAGCATAGTGGCACTTTTTGAGCACACAGGTTAGGGCCTTGTTTTCTAGATGACAGAAAGTCCATTCTGCCACCTCCTTTCATGGTGATGTCTCTCATGGTTCATTCAGTTTCCTTTAGTGTGGACATGACTTCCTCATCATACTGCCTTTGTTCTAGGGAATCCATTTCAAGTGAGAGGAACTGGCACTTTGTTAATTTACTCACCTGTTTGAGTCCCCACTGTGCCAGACACAGCTCTACGCACTGGGGAAAAGTGTCTGACAAAGAATTGCCCATCGCTTGGAATGTATATTTTGATGGGTGTATTTAGTTTCCTATTGATGCTATAACAAATTACCGTTTAGTGGCTTAAAACCGCACACATTTATTATCTTACTATTCTGGAGGTTGTACATCCAAAATCTGTTTCTGTGGTCTAAAGGCAGGGTAGCAGCAAGGCTGGTTCCTGCTGAGGCTTTGAGGGGAGAATCTGAGTCCTTGCCTTTCTCAGTTTTTGGATGTTGCCTGCATTCCTTGATTGACACTCTCTTCCTCCCTGTTCAAAGCTGACAGTGCAACTTCTTAGTTCTCTCTTCACACTTAGTTCTGTAATGAAGTCTGCCTCTGCCTCCCTCTTAGAAGGATACATGAGATTAATTTGGGCCCCTTGGGCAATCCTGGAAAATCTCCCATCATCAGATCCTTAAATCACATCTCCAAGGCCCTTTTTACAGATAATGTATTCACAGGTTCTAGGGATCAAACTTTGATGTTGGGGGACCCCTATCAGAGGGGAGACAGCATGTTTCCTTTTAATGATGATTGCTCTGAAGAAAAACTGTTCAGATAAGAGGCTGAGATACTACCTCAAGGTGGTGAGGGAAGGCCCCCAGGAAGACTCTTTGAAGTAGAATCTGTTTTATTTATAATTTGTTAGTATTTCATACAGAATTAAATACTAAATATTACCTTGGCCCTAGATATTTTAGGTGCATGATAGCTGAAGATCCAGATACTTAATTGGTCATGAACACTCAACTTCCCTGATTCTCCCTGGAGGAAGATTGGTGTGTAGCAAGCATCTCCACTTCCTAAGCAGGAAGGGGATTCCTTGATTTGTACTCACCTCAGTATTACTGCTTGGTACTTGCCACCTGGCACCATCTGTCAGCATTGACTCAAAATTTCCCTGTGCTTAGGCACTGGCAAATTTCTTTGCTGCAAAAAGCCACATAGTATTTTAAGCTTTGTAGGCCATATGGCCCCTATTGGAACGAATCCACTGAGCTGTTGTCGCAAAAACAGCAGCTATGGACAATATTGAAATGTGTGGGTGTAGCTGTTTTCCAATAAAGCTTTATTCATGGATACTGAAACTTGAATTTCATAGAATTATTATGTATTATAAAGTAATGCTCTTGATTTTTCTCCCCTTTATAATTTAAAAATGTTAATCATTCTTGGCTGAGAAGCTGTTAAAAAAACAACACAAAAATAACCAGCTGGTTGGATCTGTCCAGCAAGGCTGTAATTTGCCAACTCCTGTCATAGGCCTAGGGCCCAGTCTCTTCCAGAAAGTCTATAGCATTTAAGCCATCACTTAGTGTTTTTTCTTTCCTGACCCACAGTCCTCTAGAGGTACAGCCCCAGTGGATGCTGCAGCCTGTTGGCAACATCAGCAATCAGGTTTTGCAGAAAACCAGGAGTTGGCACCTGGAATAGGTTATACAATCACTGCAAACAAGGAACCTGGGCAGGAGAATTTAAGGAACTTGCCCATGATCACATAGCAGCAGCAAAGTCAGGTTCAAATTTGGACTAAATCTAAGCACCTAACCCAGTACACTATATTGCTTATACTTTTTTAGTGTACCCCACATTTTATTTTTCTGGATGAGAAAACTGAACTGAAGCCCAGCTTATTGTATACAGAGTAGAGTAGTAACTAACACCCAAGTCTTTTATTCTGTAAATATTTTTGAACATCACATATGTGCAAAGTTGGCCCTGGTGATGCAGGGATGAGAGACAAGACTCCTGTCCTTAAGAGTTGATGGGATTGTGTGATGATGCCAGTAGGCTCTAGAGGAGGACCCAACCCAGGCACTACCATGTAAAGGCTTCCGGCTTAATCTTGAAGGACCTTAAGGGATTGGGGTGGAGCACCTGTGCTGAGCATTCTGCTAACATGGTTAACAATTGCAAGAAAGAAAAGGAGAAATATGTTGGAATCTTTAGGGAGGCAAGTAAGATATGGGCCTTACATTGGGGTCTTAGGAGTTCTTGTAACAACATTCTAAAGGAATGCATTAGAAAGGGTTATGTGTATTTTAAATAAAAATAACATGCAGCCTGTCTGTGTAGTGGATCAGGATTTGATGGAAAGAGGGAATTTCAGGGAAGTACAGGGAACCACCTGCAAACACTTCACAGCTTGACTTCAGCCACAGATAGGTCCCCTTTAGTAAGGGGAGAATTGGTAACCTAAAAAAGGGATTTTCCCCAACAGCCACTGGGCTAATAATATGTAGTATCTCAAACCTGGCAGTTATGTGAGGTGAAGTACAGGGGTACATTAACTTCCTCTGGGGCACCCTGAGACCCCTTCAGGAAGTCCTTGAGGTTAAAATTATCTTTATAATACTAAGATGCTATTTGCCATTTTTATTCTAATTCTCTCACAACTCTATCATGGGGTTTTCCAGAGCCACATGACGGTATTGGAACAGACTGAACACAGGAAAGATATAAGCTGTCTTTTATTAAGACAGACGTTGAAGAGAATTATGAAGATACAAAATGCCACTCTTCTCACTAATTAAAAATACTTTAACGAATTATTTGTTTAATATTTAAGATATTTACTATTTTAATAATTTTAGATGTTTTAATATTTAAAATACTAAAAAAATTTTTAGTTTTAATTCCTAGTAACTAAATATTAATAAATAAACCCCTTATTAACCAAAGCTCTTTGGGGTCCTAAATAATTCAAGGTTGTAAAGGGATCTTGAGACTAAAAAATTTGAAGACTCTTGTTGTCAGCTACTATGGACAGCAGTCACTATTTATAGCAGTTGTGTTTGGAGGAAAATGGTTATTTTTCTTTCTCTCCTTTACCCCATCTGTGTGCTCCTGTCTTAAAGTGTCTGGGGGAGCTGTCTTATATGTTATTTATATTTCAGGTATGAAACTACTTACCTGGAGCTGAATGACAGCAATTTCAGTTTTAAGTTGGATTAAAATTTGAAAACAGCATGTTTATTTCTGGGGCCATCTGAATGCTTCAGTTACCTGTCTTGCTGATGGTAGTTTTCAGATGAAAAGTACCTTTTCAGGCTCACTCAGCTTGTTTTGTAAAATCTGTGCACTGGTTGATATAATTTTATTTTAAGCTTGAACCATAAGAACCTAGGGCTGATACAGAATTTCAGTACAGAACATTATAAACACTGGTGGAGGGAGGATGTGGCTTTCTATTTTAGCATAACAATGCATTTTCTTTTGTTCTAGTAGGTATGTTGCAGGGAGGGCCAGGGGAAGATGGATACCAGAAAGGGTCGTTTTCATCTGGTCAGCCAGTGGTTGTGTTCTCTATTAAGTACATGCAGATAAAATGAGACTGAGATTTAAAAAGTAATTTTTCCAGAAGAGCATCTAGGTGCATTTATTAATTCTTTTTACCAGCAAGTCTGCCTTATGTTCTTTGAGACGAACTGGGGAGTAACACGTGCTGTTTGATTCTTATACTGATCCTTAGATCTGAATGTCTACTATTACCCAGTTGTCTTTCCTCCCACAGTGCCTTATATTGGAGGAGGAGCCTCAGCCATCATGCCAGCTGATGAATACTGGCTGTGTTTACCGGCCTCTCCTTTTAGACCTTTTGTACAGACGGTCAGGGTGGTGCCTTGTCCCCACTGTTGCTGGCTTCCAGGTGTTGTCCCTGCAGTCCCCGAGCCATCACTACCTGCTGTGCTGCCGAGAGGCAATCCCAGTACTCTGCCTCTTCCACCTTTTACTGCATCCCCTTCCACATTCCCAGCATCCTCTTCTGCCGACCCTAAGCTCTGCCTTTCGCCCCCTACGTCTGATGGTAGGGAGGAGAAAAATGTGCAGTCTGGGCTGGTAAGTTTGGGGGCCTTTTGATTTTTAAGGTTGAAACTTGATTTTTTAGAAACACTTTTTTTGTACTTGTTAACTTTTGCAGTCATTACCTCATGGTAGCACAGATTTTTGTTTTAATAAAAGGTAATACTAAATATTATCATCAAAACAGTGTTTCAATATGAAATGTACTGACATGTATAAAAATTAGTGGAATGAAATGATTTTTAAAGATTGAATGTCTAGCATGTATATTATAAAGCCTGTTACATACCAGGTAGATTGAAATAAAATACTAAATATAATATATGAGGCTTCATGCATAGGTAGATTAAAGAAGTGAGCTTTACAGAGTCGTGCTTGTTTATTTAGCGCCACCTCCCCTTTCTTTGCTTACTTCAAATGTCTTGCAAAAGCAGGGACTTTTACATTTAACTTTTCCTGCAGGCAAATATCAATGATTTTTTTTTCTGAATTCCTGGGTTTTATGCCTTACCTAAACAATGTAGAAAAGTCTTAAAATATTTGGCTAATCTGTTTTGATTCCTATTTACAGGCCCCTATCTTAACCTGACACCACAGTCCACTCATTATTCTACCTTTGACTTGAAAGTCATCTTGGCTTCCAAGTTGTATTGATAGTTCTACTAAAAAAGTACAGAACAAATGTTTTTAAAAACCTAATTTAAAAACTAGCTTAACAATTGTGGGGAAAAGGGCTGACCAAACTTATTTAGGCCGAATTTGGTTTCACTGGGCTATCAGGACCTTATGTAAAAGTACTATATGAACACTTTTAGGTAGATGTTGTGATGTGAAGAGGCATTAGGACAATCCTAAGAGAAAACAAGCTACTGATCACCACTTGAGGGAAGGTTGAACATTTCTGTTGGTGTGCTGTAATGTAAATCAAATATTTTTCCCTTGAAAGTTCCTTTTGCTTTTCTTTAAAGAAAGATTTTTGCCCAAAACTTTTCAGGCATTGATGCTTTTAAGTTAAATTGTTTCTCCTTCCATTGTTTTTCTTTTTTAGGCTTATGAAGAGGGCCGACTTCAAAGACTATTGAAGATGAATGGCTCTGAGGATCTATCTGAGTCCTATGACTATGATCTCATCATCATTGGAGGGGGCTCCGGAGGACTGGCAGCTGCCAAGGCAAGGCTCCTTGTGTGTTGCCTGACTCCTAGGTAGAAGAGTCACATCCCTGACAGAGTTCTCCAGGTTCTCTGTGGAATTTGAGCCACTCTTTTGACATTTTGCACATTAATTTGGGCAGGACATATTAAGGGACCACTTTGTAAATCATTTTCCAAATTGATCTGCTTGTTTGAAATAGTGGGCCCTGTACTGAGGTACATTTTCATTTCAAGTTTGGTAGATTTTTCAGAAATAATAAGGTTATTGTATGGAAATGGTTTGAAATTAAATAAATACATTTCTTACTCTTTAAATATAAATACTATATTTTCACTTTAATGATTTCCTTATTCACTACCCATCTTCCCCAGTAGAAAGATGAGCAGTTGAATTTCTTAAACTTATTTATTAAAAATGGTTGCCTCCCGTGAAGTGGGCTAAAAGAACAACCGTGAACTCTGTGGCCTGGAGATGATGAGTGGAGGATGTATAAATAGGAGAGGTTAAGGGGGTGAGGTTCCTGGCCCTGAATTGAGATACATTTTCTACCTGTGAGGGGCCCTTGGGCCTGTCATCCTTCCCCAACAGGTTCTCGTGAAAGATGAGGGGGTCATACTCCTCCAAGATGGAGCTTGTGGAGAATCAGTAAAGATAGATTCAAATGAGGTGGCCCAGAGTAGGAGTAGGCCAGTGTCTGGCATCAAGTGGTGCTTTGCTATAAATGGTTCAGGAGGAATTCCATTGTATTTTGCCTTAGTGATGCTGGTTTTGAAGGACACATAGTCTGAGGCCTTTCAAATAACCTTTGGTGGTCTGGTTGCCAATACACAGCTTACCCTCTGGGGAAAAGAAAGGCTCCTCTGCACAATGAACTTCCGGCTGTTGTCATTCCTTCCCAAAAGTAGATTTGGAGACTACAGAGATGAGTCTTTTCATTGGCTTCTCACATGAAAATTTTAGAGAATCTGACAATTTCAGAAGAAAATGTGTTCTGCCTAGACACTGAATTAGATAAAACTTCAAAGTACTCTAAAAAATATCTTACAGGATGCAGGTTGAATCAAGGGTTATAGATTATCAGCAGATCTTCTTTACTGGCTGCTTACAGTTGCTTAGGAATGGCCGCATATTTCTCAGATATTGCTTAATTGGTTACTGGTTGAGAGGAATTAGGTAAGAGGAGTCTGGGGTTTCCAGTTGACTGTGATCTTTACAACTAATTTGCATTTCTTTGAAGCTACCCTTATGACTATCCGAGTATTGTTTAATTTTTGTCTTGGAGTTGCACTAATCATCATGGTATATGAAATTCCCACGTATTAATAGCTGGCTATGTTTTAGGCATTATAGCTTAGTAAGAATAGCATGGGTTTCTAAAAGCCCATTTTCTAGTCTATCATGTTAACCTTTCCAACTCATTTTAATAATTATATTTTCCAGGAGGCAGCCAAATATAACAAGAAAGTGTTGGTCCTGGATTTTGTCACTCCAACCCCTCTTGGAACTAGATGGGGTAAGCTTTTAAAATACTTTAGAAATGAATTTGTAGGAGCGGTTTTTCCTCTGGCTTTGGTTTAAATGGCTCTTAAAACCCAGTTAAGGAATTAAAATTAAAAAGAAACCCAAAAACCAAAAACATATACCTCTTTGCCTTGTGTTAAGTTAAAGTAGATTCCAGTTAAATATTGAAAATTTAAATTCTTTGGTGCAAAGACAAGATAATACAAAACCTTATCATCCACAGCTGTTAAGATGATTTAAAATTAACTTGAGTAATAAGCTAGTATACTTAGTGGCTTAATAACTGAAAGTTAAAAACTTTATCTGTGGATTTCTGTTTTGAACCCACCTCCTACATTCAGGAAGAACTGGAATCAGATACCTTAAGGCATAGTCCTTGTTTCTTCTGAGTCTTGGTGAATTATATGTTCATTATTCATTTACTCATCAAATATTTATTGAACACTTAACTAAGAACAAGGGCTGCAGGCATGTGACAGTAAACACGGTAAACGTGAAGTTACTGTCCTTGGGGCGTTTGCATTCTAGTGGGGAAACCAAAGAATTATGATAAGTGATATTGAAAAAAATGATCTGGTGGAATAGAGAGGGCCTGGAAAGAGTTAAGCTTCGAGAAGGTTGCAAAGGAAGGCCTCTGAAGAGGTGGCATTTGGGTGAGGCCAGAAGTGCCAAATGCTGAGGAAGAACCTTCCAGGCAGCTTTCCGCTGAGGTGGCTAACAGTCCTGTGTGGTTGTGGTGTGTGTGGGGGAGCTGGAGGTAAGATTGAGGGGAGGGCAGGTGTCAGACTGCACAGGTCCTTGTTACAATGAGGAATTTGGACCTCATCAAAGCATAGTAGGAAGTCTTCCAGGAGGGGAGTAATGTGACATGTACATCTTACCAAGATACCTTGACTGCTTAAATGAGGAGGAGGCAAGAAACATAAACTTTGGATGAGGTCATCACAGTTTCTATGCGTCCATTCAGCAAACATGTACTAGGTGTCAATTTTGTGTCAGGCCCTGTTCTTGTGGAGAACCTCTGTGCTGTGGAGCTTATGCTCCACCACGATGCTGGTAGCATTCTCAGGGCTGGTTGGTGTGTCCTGAGCTGTGAGGTGCACTGCCATCTCTCACTCTTACATAATCATGCTGTAGTCGGGCAGCTGTGTCTGGGGAGGTCTCTCCCTGTGCTCTTAGACAAACTTCAACCCGAACAGGGGAGGGTTCTTAACTCTGGATGAGAAAGAATTCTCAAACAGGTCAGATTAGTGGAGGTAAGGAAGGAATTCATTAAAGCAAGAGTAGCAGCGAATGGCAGCAGCCATGCAGGTGGCAGAGAGCAAGGAAGAGCAGCGGGAGGAAATGGAAGCTCATTGAACTGCTCGGTGTAGGGCAGATCCCTTGCCAACTCTGGAAGCCAGGGTCACCTGGCATCCAGTATCTTCTTGAATCAGCCCCTACCACCTGAGGATTTGGGGGAGCCACAGAGCACTGGGTAGATTATGTTCTGAGAACTTCCCAAAGCTAAGGAAGGAGATTTCTAGGCAGGCTGCTAAGGAGCACGATTGTACAGCTGTAGTCTTGTGGTGGTCACCCGGGTGATGGGAACACGGAAGCCCAAATCAGAGATCTTAGTAGCCCTTCCCTACTTGTCTGAAGTAGGACAGAGAGAGAGAAGACTTGTGCTTAAGTCTAGAAAATTGAATGAAATGGCAAAGTAATAGACACTTACACTGGGAAAAGGGGTCTCATTTTAATCTCCCAAGAGGCTTGAAAAAGTACAGAGACAAAATGCAGTAAGTTGAGCAGCGAGAAGTCTTTATTTAAAGCAAAGTACACCGAAGAAAGAGGAGGTTAGGCAGCCTCAGAGAGGAGGCTCGCTTACAGGTTTAGGATTCTGTCTTTTAAGGGTTTCAAGAATGGGGCAAAGGGCCAGGGGGTGGGGGGGTGCATAGGCTTGACATCTAGTCTCATGGTGTCTGTCTCTGGTGAGAGATGTTGTGTCACCATCCACAGTCTCAGTCCTCTAAATATTCTGTAAGATAAACTTAACACAAGAGGTTTCTTCATCCTGTTCTTCTCCAAGATAGTGGTTACCCTAAGCAGGGTTAAGAATCTCACCTCATAACTCCCTTTTTTTAAAAATGGAATCTTAGTGGTAAGATGGGGTCCTTCCTGTTGTTACTGTTTTCATCCTCATTTTTCATCATAGGCAAGAAAAGTTAATCATGACGCTTGTCCCACGTCCCTGCTCTACCCCGCTGCCATTTTGGCTCCCTCCCCACCTGCCCACATTTTATTCTAATGGAGACAAGTGATCACCATGTTCCTTTGGCTCAAGGGTGCTAACCCTTTGGGGTTTTTTGGTCATGTGTCCTTTTGTGAGACTCCACAAAAGCTACAGACCATCTCCTTTAAAAAATGCTCATATATGCCAAATTCTGTAGTTTCGGGACCCACTGCAGTCCAACCTCCCCAGCTAAATAACTCCTTTATCAGTTAGTTCCCGTCACAGATTCAGTGACAGGCATAGGGTTGTTCACAAAGTAAAATTTCAATTTCTGGCATCTTTTTCAGCAGTCAATTAATTTTCAGTCCTTTGAGTATATGGAAATTGTGGAAATTCCCCTTTTTTGCTTTTATGTAGGATGATGTCACTGTGTTAGGTGTATGAGGCTTTCTGAACTTGGAAATGTCATGAGACTTAGGAGTAAACTTGCGTAAATAGTATTGACTACATTAAGCAAATAAATTATGACCTTTTATAGAATGGTAATAATTGTTGACCTTCTTTGAAGGACTGTGGAGCAACCTATAAACTGACTCCCAATGTTGTTGCAGGCCTTGGAGGAACATGCGTGAATGTGGGCTGCATACCTAAAAAACTGATGCATCAAGCAGCTTTGTTAGGACAAGCCCTGCAAGACTCTCGAACCTATGGATGGAACATTGGGGAGACGGGTACGGATGGAAAACTCCTCTTCCATGTGTGCTTGTGGGGGTTTGAGTTGTGATCTTGAGATAAATATGTACCATGCAATTTTATAAGACTAGCAAATAACCTGAAAGTTATTTTTATTGTTTACAGTTTTCATGGATAAAATCGCTGCATTTATTCTGTGTCAGGTAGCTACATAGCTATTATGATGAGAACAGTTAATGCCCTTGGAGTATCTTTCTAAAATAGAAAACCAGAAATCTTTGGAATAAATTCTCTTAACTTTGTAGTGGTTTTATAAGGGAGTTTTATACTTGCTTTCCTTTGAAGCTGTTGGATATTCCTCTCTCCAGAGATGTCTGTTTTATGAGTTGATACTTTGGGGGTGGGGGATTGTTTATTTGTTGAGAAGGGAATGGTCAGTCTTTGTTGGATTAAAAGTATTTAGGATCCCCTAGAAACCCTAATAAAGTTGAAGAGGAATTTGCCAACTTTAGAAAGTAGATAGCATTGTTTGGTAGAAGAAAAAAAATGAAGCCTGGTATATAAAGCTTCATGGTCAGTTAATAACATAGGCATATATAGCCTGCAGGGCATGCTCCGATTTTTCTTCTGTGCCCTTTAAAGGAAAAACCTAAGACCTATCCATTTTCTGACCACACTTATAAGATCTGTGACACGTGCCTCTCCCCACCATCATTTCACACATTGTCTTGACCAGTGTTTTCAGTGGATTTCTGTCCCTAGGATACCTAGGGTTAAGATCTTTCCTTTACCCACCTTGTCCCCTTAAAGTAGGTTTTTGTAATAGACCTGACTTTGCCATTTATTGCCTGTGTGATGAGGATTAAACACAGTAGTATGATTAAAATACCTGCTCCTCAGCAAGTGTTACTTCTGAACCTGTCTGCTGGACTTGGCTACTTATAATTCTTCCTCCAGTTTCAATAAATTGGAGTAGATTCTGCCAAGTACTTGGTTCTTTATTTTTAATTTACAAGTATAATAGGACATTGTACATTTGAACCAAGTTAGTTTCCTCTTAAGAAGAAGGGCATGTAACAAGAACATGAATCTGAAAAAGTCTAGAATTTGTTGGAAAGCATAAGGTCGTTCCAAACAAGTTTCGATTTTTGTAGCTTCATACTTTTCATATACTCTCTTCATAGTGAATGCCACTGGCCCTTCAATCTAGGTAAACAGCAGTGCTGGGGAGCTGTAACTCAGAGTCACACAATTTCTATTCATTTGTATAGGGTTAGGACTCAAACTGGTATGTTGTACTAGTTGATGTTAGCTTTAAACTATCAACTCTTAGGAAAAATGAAGTCAGTGTAGCAGAATTGCTTAATTTAGGTAGAAATGTAGGGAAATTTATGTAGTAGATCTTTAGAATCTTAAAAAACTAGGTAAGTACAGGTTTCTGTTTAATGTTATTTTGATTAATAGGGCCAAGTAAGTATAATTCTGATAAATTCAATAATCAGGTGGGTGGTAAAATAACTTGATGGATTGACAGAGCTTACCAGCAAAAGAATGTCTCTGTAGCTGTTAAGTGACAAAAATAAGCCCTGGCTATACTTATTGATGGTGAATTTATTCTAAGTTAATAAAGAACTAAGAAATGTAAAGTGGTTGAGGTGATAAAGAGCTGCTACCAGCACAGTCCAGGTCTGTACGTACATTCAAACCAGCAAAGCTCCCTGAATCTTGTGGACTTTTAAAACTGTGAGCCAACTGAATGTTCTTTTGTCTGTCCTTACAGAAGCTATTTACTCAACTCATGTAACAGTTTTGCCTCTTCTGTGCTTCCTCCCCCTTCCGAGGTTTTAAGGATAGAAATACATAATTTTCTCTGTTTATACCTTCCACCTCCTGTGTTTGGCAGCAGCAATCCCAAAGTCTTCAGTGAGAGCTATTGAGGAGCCGTGCACTCTGTTTAGTTCCCTGCACTCTTCCTACATGAAGCTTGGTGGTGTGTTCAGTGACACGATGGGCAGCCTTTCTCTTTAAACCTGGGGCCTGCAGCAGCTGTGAAACAGGAGTGGGGCTTCGTGGGAGCACGTGGGGCTTGTGGGCGTGGCCTGTTGAACCTGCCAGGACCCCCACTGAGGGAGGAGTAGTCATTTCTTTTTTATGTGAAGAATACAGTGGATTTAAATAGACTACTTTATGTCATTAGGTTCGAGAGAAAGAAAGAAACTTGGAGGTATATTTCATGTTCCCAACATATGAATTGTGAGGCTTACTTTGTATTTTTCAATAGAAACCTATCTAATCTCATGTCCTTGACCAGTTTTCTAGGAAAACTGTCTTCTCTGACCTCGCAGATAGTTCTGAGAGTGGTGAGGAAGGAAAGGGACTCAGGCCATGCAGCTCAGCTGAATCTGCTCAGGTGACCCGGGAGTGACACATCCAGGACTCAGCCTGTGATCTGTGCTTTTCTTAAAGCTCCAAATTGAGAATGCACAGAAAAAGTCTCAGGCCTTAAAATAAAAATTACTTGAGCTCTGTCATATAAACTGGATGAATCGGTCCTTTCTGGAAGATTTATTGGCTTTAATTTTTCAGACTTACCTGTTAGGGTTCTATGCTTAAGAATTAAATGTGCCTTTAAAAAATTAAAGTATTAGAAGAAGTTTTAGGATCCTGTCATTACAAAGAAAGCAACATCACTGGTTCATGGAGACTGGGAGTGGGCGTGGCTGCCTACTCTACCAGAGGGTGAAGGACCTTGGGTATGGGCAGGGGGTTTTCAGAAGAAGGCTGTAACCGGGTTAAGGTTGGAATATGTCTAATCATTGGATTTGAATTTATTGAAGTACAAATTGAATTTAATGGTGCTATTATTTAATCTTAGCAGTGTCTTACTTTAGAATATGTTATCCCCTGTAGGATTTGTAGAGTGTAAGCTACTCAGTTCTACAGTTGTTAAAATTTCCGAAGTGACTCTTCCCTTTGATCTGGTTCATTATTCTCCTTGGGTGTGTTACTGGCACGCTGGGCTGGGTGGCTCCTTGTTGTAGGGAACTATAAAGGACATTTAGCATGACTGACCCCAAAAACATTAAAAAAAAAAAAAGTATCTGGAATTTGCTTGAAATACTCTAGTTTAAAAAAGAGAAGGAGAGAGGAGAGGGGGGAGGGAGAGGGAGGGAAAAGGAGGGAGGGACAGAGAGGAGGGAGGCAGGGAGGCATATAAAATGGAATTGGTGAAGTGTTCATTGTTGCAGCTCGGTGGGGGCCCGTTGGGGAGGGTGACACCGTTCCATCCCGTTCCTGGTGGAGGGACAGGGTTCCTGCCTCTGTTAATATGGTGGTAGACAGAGGCCACAGGATAGGTTGGAATTCCCTGCAGTGTTCCGCACTCCCCGCCCCCAGCACCTAGTCCTCTCCTATCACAACCACTGTGGCTTCACAGTCACTTTTTTAAAAAATTGAACTGAAGTAAACTTCCTGTTCATCTCTAGTAAATGAGAAAAAACACGTGTGTGGTTATTTGAGTCCTAAGGGTTACCAGAAAGCCTTGCGTTGTTTAATTGTACGGTAGTTTCCTAAAAGGGAAAGAATATTTGAAGATGAAAAGGCTGTTCATGTGCTTCAAGTGAAGGGCTTGACTTCTCAGACTGCCAGCTCTGCTCAGCATTCCTCCTGAATAGTTCTCGAGAAAGAATCTTTGTGAGGCAGTTGAGAAGCTAAGCATTTTGTCTTATTTTCTTGTGCAGTTAAACATGACTGGGAAAAAATGACCGAAGCTGTGCAGAACCACATTGGCTCTCTGAACTGGGGCTACCGGGTAGCACTTCGGGAGAAAAAAGTCACCTATGAGAATGCGTACGGGGAGTTTGTCGGTCCCCATAGGATTAAGGTAATTGTGTGACAGCCTGAGTGCCTTTGTTTTGTTTGTTTGAAGCTTTGCCTGGGGGCAGGGGAGGAGAAAAGAAGGTAATTATCCTAAGGGCGGTAGCTACCTCGACCCAGACTGTTCAGTTCGCTTTTGCAGGCCCACCTCTCTTGTGGGGTGGTGAAGAATGTGGGTTTGGATTGGGGGCCCTATTACCTGGATTCACGTCTTGGCTCTGCCACCTACTAGCATTGTGATCTTGAGCAGGTTCTGTGGTTACTCAGAGCCTTAATCTCTTATTTAAGAGGATCAGATTGGACCATGTGGTGAATGGCCTTTGTTAACCATAAAGCTTACAATTCTAAGGGATAATTACATTAAAATGAACTTATTGGTTCCTTCATAGACAACAAATAACAAAGGCAAAGAAAAAATCTATTCAGCAGAGAGATTTCTGATTGCTACTGGTGAAAGGCCACGTTACTTGGGCATTCCTGGTGACAGAGAATACTGCATCAGCAGGTAAGGAAAAAATTGCAGGGGAAAAAGAAAAAAGCCATTGTGGATTTAAGCTTTCCCTCTTTTTCTCCAGACCCATTTAATCCATTTCCTAGAACTTAAGATCTTTTTGCCACATTATTGCCCAGTAGGGCAGGGGATTGGGAAAAGGAAAAAGAGAACATTTAAAAATTTTGAAATTGTAAACATTGGTCATCCTACCACCCAGAGTTAACCTCACTGCTAACAGGTATATGCTTATATTTATATTTGTGATTGAAATTTATATATGTGTAAGCATATATTTTAAGTGTATAATATGTAAAATTAGATGGATATTCATAAGCATTTTGTAAAATGATACATATGTATATACATTTCTGGGGCAAAACTAGGATCGTCTATTACCCTTTTACACTTGTAATGTGAATACTAAAAGAATTAGAGGATATACACCATTTTAGGTTTATCAGACCCTCATCCCTACTCATTGCTATTCAAATGGTCTTAGCTCATAAATGTAACTTTTGAAATAAGTGAGTCAAGTAAGAAGGTTTTGCTGTGTGATTGATACTCGCCCATTGCATGATAATACCGGTATTATTGTTCAGTTTTAAATTAAATTATGAAGACATTATGACAGATAATTGATAAATATGTCCTCTTGAATGCTTTTTGCCCAGGAGTTTCTGATTGTGTTATAAATTACTCGTTTTTCAGTCCCTCTGCCTCTCTCGCTCTCTTTTTGGGGAGCATGGTTTTTTTCCTTTGTGCGTCATATAGGAGCAGTTCAAGTAGCAGCTGTCATCTTTGTTGTCTTGTTTAGGCTCCCTTCTCATATTTTATAAAACTCATTTCTTATTAATGCTTTTATGATCTCCTATATGTTACAGAGTATTCTCGACTAGAAGACTTTGTCAGGATTTGCTTTTTATAATTCATTGCTTTTTATAATTTATTTTTCCCACTCTTCTCCCCACTTTTGATAATTGGTATCTGAGATATGAGGAAGTCACACAGATTTTCCACCTCGGAGAGAGCTTAGTGGTGGAGTGAGGGTGGGATCTGGGTTTGCAGATGGATGATATTAAACACATTAGTGGAGAACTATTCCAAACAGTTAAGAATCATTTTATTTGACCATGAGGCAGACTAAAGTCAGAAGTTTACATACAAGGTTTGCTGTGCTTGGCCACAGGTAGCTTGAATTACTCCCAAAGCGACTGAGTGGCAAGAAGGGGAGTGTGTCTAAGACCTTATAAAAACTTATCATGTAGTATATGTGTAGCTAATTGATGTTTTTAATCTTCAAAGTGTCTTGTTCTTAAGAAAGTAAAAATGTTTACTTAGATTTGTTCGTTATTCACATATAACCATTTTCCTATTTCTGTTTTCTTCCTTTTTAATTTCTTTTCAGTGATGATCTTTTTTCCCTGCCTTACTGCCCGGGTAAGACCCTGGTGGTTGGAGCATCGTATGTTGCTTTGGAATGTGCTGGATTTCTTGCTGGCATTGGTTTAGATGTCACTGTTATGGTGCGGTCCATTCTCCTTAGAGGATTTGACCAGGACATGGCCAACAAAATTGGAGAACATATGGAAGAGCATGGGGTCAAGTTTATAAAGGAATTTGTACCAATAAAAGTAAGTGGGTTGCCTGTAGGTCTGTTGATTATACTCAAAGGCAGAAGAAGGGTTTGGGGTGGGTGACAGAAGCATTATCACTAATAGAAGTGCTTTCAATCCTCAACTGTGTCTGCTGTTGGCATGGAAACTTGTACCTGCACACCACCTAAACAGCTTTTGTTCTTATTTGCATCTTAATAATTTCTTCATTCCTTTCTCATTTTTCTTACCTTTGGTTCCCTTCTGCTTAATGTTTCCCGTTATGCATTCCTTTATTAATTTTGGTCTGTTGTACCTATGTGATTTAAATAAGAGTTCAAGACTGGGCTGATTTAATTCTTTTTTCTGTAACACTGCTTGGTATTTTGTAGTCAGCAGAGGAACTACACTCTGGCTTCCCTGACAAGGATTATCTGACTTTGTTAACATGGGCTGGCCTTTTTTGCTCATCTCATCTTCTGAAAAGGCCAAATAATGTGCCAAGTTATGTTGGGACTTGTTAAACATGGTCACAAATGTTTTGTTACATAACAGTGACAAAATCGACTACTTTGTGGATCTCAGGCTAAGAGAGAGTTTCCTGTTGTGTGGCTAAAGTTGGGATTATTTTGTGAAAGTTAAGGAAAGTTAGCTGGCATTTTAAAAATTGCTCAGTGGCTTAATTTAGGGACTCTGCATGATCATGAGTCTCTTAATGTTGATAGAGCATGAGTGCTAAGATCAGAATGACGTGGGTCCAAGGCTGTCATGCCAGGATCTTGCTTTATGACTTTGGCAGATTTACTTAACCTACCCAAGCTTCAGTTTCTTCTGTAAATTTAGGATGATAGCAGCACCTCTCAGAATTCTTGTGAAGATTGCATTAGCTAATAGAAAGTTGTTAGAACAGTACCTGGCATAGAGAATGTCTAAATAAAATCAATCTACCTTATATAATGTGAGGATTAAGTAGCAAATTTCCTAGACATTATTATTAGTACTTGACTAGATTAGTTGAGCAAAGATTAGATGAGCAAAGAAGGCCAGCCCATGTTAACAAAATAAGATAATCCTTATCAGGGAGGCCAGAGTGTAGTTCTCCTGCTGACTACACGACACCAAGCAGTGTTACAGAAAGAAAGGGCTTATTTTGGGGGTAGTAGAGGTCTATGTGCTGTATTTGCATTGGACTATTATTAGATGACAACAGCTGTGTGTATATGCTGTACTGAGAGAAGAGTGACGTCTCCCTTTATAATACCTAAACGTCTTGGGGGTGTGGGTCCCTTTGAGAACCTAGCGAACTACCCCTAGTGAAAGAAACCTTTGTGTACATGCATTTCACTTTGGTTCCCCCGGCAGCTGATTCCCATAGGCCAGCAGTGAACACTTGCTGTTTATAAAGTGACCAGGTGGAGAAGCCTTCTGTGGAGAGGAAGGAGAGAATGAGTTGTGGACGTAGTTTGTGCAGAGAGACTGTGGGGGATAAAATCGTTCTAAATGCAGAAATCGTTCTAGATAACAGAGAAGGCCTAACTAAAACTCAATAGGGCGTAAGGCAGGAAGTAATTAGAGGTTAGGATAAGGCCCTTAACATTTTTAAGCAAATTGAAGCCATGGACCAATTCAGTTTTTCTCCAGCGATTAGAACGTTTTAAATTAAATAGGAAAGGTATTTCTGTATGTTCAAAGGAGCATGACTATCTAAGAAAGGAAAGGAATTTAAGAAGGAAATCTT